ATAACGTCTTATTAATAATGTGATATATAACTACTTTTTAATTCATTTGTCATCTATAGGAGCTGTATAAATTTGTTCATACAATTTAAATTGACTTATTTTTCTAATTACTTGTAAGCGATTGTGGTAAGTACTTGCACTAATAACACCATTTAGTCAAGTACAAAATCTCTGTGAATTTTTATTTAATTTTTCTTTCAAAAAAGCTATATATATGGTAAAAACGTATGAAAAAGTCTTTGAAATGTTGAGTGAAATCAATTTTAGTTACTCGTTAACTATTGGAGAATTATTTAAATCAATTAATTTGGTGTTTAATAATTCGATTTTTTAAAATAAAATACAAATGTTTTAATATTTTTGTTTTATGGAGTGTTAGAAAAATAAATAAAAAATGCCATAGAGGCAAAAAATATAGATGTGGTGATATTAAGAACACATTATAGTATCTTACATATGTATATGGTTGCCGAGGGGCCATCAGCGGCCAAATAGTACTTTTTCTCCTTTAAAAATGGCAAAAAAACATAAATATATATATGAAAAGTGGCATTTTAATAAGTAATGAATAATTGAATCCTATTGTGTAATGGTTATTTAAAATATAATTTTTCATACAAAACAACATTATATTTGGACTGAAAATTAAAATTTTAAGAAAATTTATGGAATGGTAGTTTTTTATATAAAAAAGGTAAAGGTATTAATTAAAAAAAAAACAATATGAAAAATTATATATAAAAAACCTAAACTTTGATGCACAACCTAAAGGCCTACAAAAGGAAAATCGAAAAACTAATTATAGCGTTATATAGAACAAAGTCTTGGCTTTTAAGATACGCTATATTTTTTGCAAAAAAATAATTTTTAAATATTGACTTTTGGCCAAGTTTACTTAAAGGAGACCCCAATTAAAAATGGGCAGTATCGGACTTCGATTTTTACATAGCCCTCACACATAAATTAATTATGAAGCAATCGTGGTAAAATTTTACACAAGTAAGGTTTATGTACACAGAAAAAAATAATACATAGCTGGAATGAATTTTGTAATAAATAGTATGAATCGAACATGACTTTTTTCCCAAACCATTTTCATTCAGAATATTAAAAGTTCATAAAATGTATGAATTTCAACATGACAGAATTTTTTTTGATTTTACTTATTTTCTATGATATTCTTAAAAAATTGCAAAAAAAGTCCATTATCTACAAATCTGTTTCCATATCTTGTAAATAGTGATCCTATATTAGCAAATTTTGTATGATAATTAAATATAAATGTTGAAAAACAAAATCTGAAATAAGAAAACATCAGCAAACATAGTTAAACATCCATTCTTCATCAAATCCCGCAAATTACGTGCACATCCCATCGATTTCAATCTAAAAATCATAAAGAAATAAAAAATTTTCCAAAGAAAATTTCAGACATTTTTTAACAAATAGAAAAATAAAAATTAAATTTGAAATATTTTAAGTCAAGGCTTCTAGATTATGTTTGAAAAAATAAAAATGAAAAAATTCATACCATTTAGGAACTTATTCTTAAATATTATTAACTTTTGTCAATGAAAGCAGTTCATAATATTTATGCTGAAACTTTTTTCTGTGTACCAAGAAATTATGCTGTAAGAATGGTAATCATTGGGCCACAGTTAGCCCCCATCAGGGTTGGCAAAGTTGGCACAATTGTACTTTTTGGTACAATTCGATGCTTAAAAGTACAATGGTAGTACACCAATCACTCATCTGAGATTTTGTCAGCATCTCTGCTAAAAGTTGAAATTTTCGAAAAATTTAGCAGACTCTTCTAATACAATAAAACTATATATTTTAATTTTTGCTAATTGATATGAGTTCCTTTTTGTATGAAAAAATAATAAATTAGCAAAATTATAAAATTATTGTTTTTGAAAGTAGTATGAGTCCATTCAAATGTGAAAAAATCTAGTATTTCCGCAATATCTATTAAAGTTTTATGCAATATAAAAATTTTTATTGCATTTTAGACCAAATACATGTAAAATAGCTTTACACAGATCAGACTAATTTTCTATGGAAAATTTTATGCTGAATATCTTGGGAGCAGATATAACATCCCTCACGCACACTGATTGGAACATTTTAAAGAACTCCATCTAGAAACAGAGTTTCTGTACTTCGGATAAGGAGAGCTCAACAGGTACTATAGTGACCTAAGAGTATTTCTTAGGATTTGATGTATTATACATCCTCCTCTCAACCTAACCTATGTATAGCTTGAAATGTTTTTGTTTCGATTAAGGACACTCCCACTTTAATATTAATTTAGTAAAATAATTATGATTTGGTACAATTAGAAGCAATAATGTACTATTTTTCACGCAATTTTGTAAAATTTTAAAATGTAATTTGCTATCCCTGGCCCCCATATAAATCCCTTCAGAAAATAACTTTAACCCTTTATAGTCCAAGAGCTGAAATCTTTTTGATTTTTTGGGACATGATAGAATTCGGTAAATAATAAAATACATTTTACTCAGAAATTTAAAATTTTTTGTTATTAGCGTTTTATTAATGATTTTTTGATTGATTTTAAAATCGATTTTTATGATACAAGAAATTTTAAATTGTTTATTTTTTTTAATTAATAATAAATTTACACAAAATTGTCTACAAAATCTTATAAAAACAACGAAACTTTTTTTCCCCTTTTATAAAATTTTTAAAAATCGAAATTATCTTACCAATTTAGCTTGAACACAAAATTTAACTTTTTATCAAAACTGAAAATTCAATTTAGCATAAGTGAATAGTTTTGCCACATATCATGTTAAAATACATACATACAAAACAGTTAAGTGGAATCTCATGAATGTGCTTCACTAATTTGATTCGAAAATAAGTGCCTAGGACCTATTTTAGAGTCAATTTTTGGGTTTGTTACAGAAATGTTACACGCTATAAAGGCTTAAGTTCATGATTGGCTTCAAAAAGCCTGTATAAGAACGAAATTCTACACAAACAATTGTTATATGAATCAAAATCTCTCTACCAAATTTCATGTGGGTCAGTCCATAATTGACCGAACACCCCATATTACCTCTCTTACAACAAATCGGTTTACTGTAGTGAATCGTTCAAAAATTAATGTACTATAAGATTTAACAAAAATGATATGAAACTAATAACTCTTTCAAATTCTGTAAACCTCGGTACATAATTAATGGACTTATTCCGAAAATCTCCCTGATGTTCATATTAATATCAATATATCGACACCCTATATTCAAAAAGTGCTGGTACAAATTTGGGATCAAAATATTAACTTTTGTGCTTTTAGTATCTGTTTTGTCTACTACACAAAGTAGAATATTTTTTAAGAAAATAAGTGCTATCTCCCATAGTAATTTTACAACATTTTTTGAAAAATTAATTTTATTAAATATTTATCTCCGCTATTATAAAATATGACATACTGAACAGGAATCTGTTTAATAAATTGGAATTCAATATTTAGTTTCGGAAATATAGTAATTTTTATTTTACCAATAAATGTTTCAATTTTAAAATTTTCCTTTGAACAAAATGTGCTAACCAAAGATAAATCCTTGAAAAACACAAAATGTATTAATTTGTATATAATTATAAATTGGTAAGATTATTATAAACATATTATGGAAAGAATGTTATTAATTTGTTCAACATTATACAAATTAAACAGTTTTTTTCCTCTCCTGAAAACTAGACATTTTTGAATTAGCACTTTTTAAATGTAGTGTCTCGATATGTGTAATTTTAAAAATTTTCGAACATGATTCTCTGATTTCGATGAAATTTGGTATACACATTTTTTGTATCAATACAAAATTAAAAGTTTTCCAAAATTTTCAAATTCGTTACGGTTTAGAGGTTGAAAATCCACATTTTTTCTCAAAGGCATAAAATTTAGTATCGTATATTTTCTAAACTACTTTTCCGATTTTATAATTGTTGTATCTTCCATTTTTACTACACTAAAATATACAACATATACAAACAACAGAATGGGACCATGAGGGGATCTCTAGAAAGTTAACTTTCATTTCTATACAAATTTAAAAATTTATACTTTTGTTCATTGATGAAAAAAATAATTCAAACAAAAAATAAATAATGTGAATTAATTTAATAAAATTCAATTTTCTTGCGATCTCTTCATGAACCCATTCTAATTTTTTTGTGATATAATTGCCAAGCTACTTTTAAAATTGTTTAAACCTAGAAAACCCATAAAAACTAGACTAGAAATAATAATAATGTTAATATTTTTAAGAAAAAATAAAAACCCCAAAAATAGCGGAAAAATTACAAAAAAATCCCCAAATTTTACGAAAATCCCCAAATCCCTCCCCACGAAAATCTGTCCCCAAATAAAACTTGAAATCCCCAATTTGGGGACAAATCCCCACATCTGGCGACACTGACTATAGGGTACATTCAATTAATATGTTATTCTCACATTCTCTGAGATTGAAATCGTTAACTGTATGAGTATGATGAGCGTTTATATACCAACTAGTTGTCATGTTGTTCATCAATTGTGATGAAGAATTGACATCAAAGATGTTTGATAAGCATAGTTGTATGTGTTTCGAAAAAGTCAACTCAACACTAGGGAATTGTTAGTTGCAATCGAAAGTATATTTGACGAACCTACTTACACAAAGTGTATTCATTAAAATGATGTTTACTATGGCGGTTTTAATCAAGATTTTCTACTAAAGTTTTTACTCATCGGTCGTTTGACTTTTGCTACATATAATAAAGTTGCTGGGATTTGAAAAGCTCTTATCGGAAATGTGATGATATCTATTTAATAGGAGAATTTCATTAATTTGTAAAATAAAGTAAAATATACGAAGAGTAGATAGTTTATAGCCCTATATTAAAGATAGATCACCAAATATAGTTTGAGTTGTCATTATAATTTAGATTATTTTAGAAGAAGAAATAAAATATAAAACATCACAACTTACCTATAGACATATCAGCTCCATTTTGATGATGTTCTGGAACAATCTTACGATTAACTGGCAACGATATTGCCCCCGATGTAGACGAAGGCGATGGTGAGGATGAATCACAAGAACTATCAACTGACTGAGCAGTGGGCGGTACGGCCGATGAATGTGGATGTGGGTGATGATGATGGTGATGTTGATTATTATGCTGCTGATGATGATCCGGTGAGGGATGATGCGGTGGACCAGCTGTTGAACTAGAAGCAATACTGCTACTACTGGCCATACCATTTAAGGCGGCCGCATTACGTTCAATAGCGCCAACACTGCTAACGACTCCTCCACCACCGTTGCCGCCACCACCACCACCACCATTATTTCCTCCTCCACCACCAGCACTTGAGCCACCATTGACACTGTGATCACTGTGGGGTGGTGAACGTATTGTTGATATAGCTGCCGCTGCTGCAGCATGTGTCACATGATGATGATGGTGATGATGTGGCGGTACAGCACCCACAACAGCTGCTGATGTTGTGGCATCCACCAAATGGGGATGATGATGGTGATGTAATTGCTCTGCCAGATGATGCTGCAAGTGATGATGATGGTGATAGTGGGCCTTTAGTAAAGCTGGTGGTGGATGTACAACTGGCGGCACCTCATGCATCTGTAATATGCGCTGTTCATCCTGCTGTTGGGCACGTCTCAGTGCCGTCTGTAGGGCCATGACACGCTGTCGATCGGCGGTTAGGCGACATTTTTCACAGTTACAATTGCGATACTTGCAATAGCGTTTGTGGCCTTTCAATTTAATTTTAAAGCCATGATTGTGGCAACGTGCACAATTCGGTTTAGTTCGTGGGGTGCCAGAGCTGCCACTGGAGCTGGAAGCACCACCACAAATATCATTCTTCGAATCGTGCATGTCCGTGTCGGACATTGTGTCGCTGCTATTCCAGTTGGTGTCCTCAGAAACCATTCAAAATCACTTACTGGCAACTGGTTTGTTGGAAATGTTTGGAATGACAGACACTCCACGTCCACACTCCGCTCAGCAGTGGTAGCAGCAGCAACAACAATCGTAGGCTACAAAAACGGTTGACACGTTTAATGTGTTGTTGTGTTTGAGTTTTTTTTTATTCGCTTGCCTTAGGTAACTTTAAAATCTTGCCAGTTGCCACAAGTAGATTCTATGGACTAGATAAGTTTGAAAATAATTTATCTTTTGTTTGTTTTGTTGTAATATCAGGCGTTTGTTGCCTAAAAGGTTTTCAATTACTTATTTAGGTAGGTACTAGTTACACTAGTACTTTTTTATTTGCTGTCTATTTATTTTATATTCTCAAGATTGTTTAATTTGCTGTATTTCTCTTATAAAGAATAAATACTTTTTTTCTTAAGCAATTTAGTGTTTGCACTTTTTTTCTTTAAGGTTCATCCATTGTCTTGAGAAAATTGTATGATTCTTTTACTTTTTATTTAAATACTTGTATAATTTCTTTTATATTGTATTCTTATGTACTTTATTTATTTTATTTTTGCAAAACCTTTAGTCAATGGTGCCACCTGCTAAAATTACTGAAATTCTCTAACTAGAATAATGAATTCCTTTGTTGCCAAAAATTTCATTTATTTTTGATTTTGATTTAGCAAATTTTCGAAGTGTGACTGAAACGATAAAGAATAAAATTTACATATTATAAAATTATATATTTACAGTTAACAAAAAGAACTTAAATTCTAGAAGATTTTTTTAAACAAATATTAAATTAAAGAAAAGTTTTCAAACATTTTAATAAAAGTTACATTGAGGCAGCCAGTATTATTTGTTCGGAAACGTCTTGGAAATAAATTTTTTTCTGAACTAGAACTGAACTAGAAATGAATTAGAACTGAACTAGAACTGATCTAGAACTGAACTAGATTTGAACTAGAACTGAACTAGAACTGAACTAGAACTGAACTAGAACTGAACTAGAACTGAACTAGAACTGAACTAGAACTGAACTAGAACTGAACTAGAACTGAACTAGAACTGAACTAGAACTGAACTAGAACTGAACTAGAACTGAACTAGAACTGAACTAGAACTGAACTAGAACTGAACTAGAACTGAACTAGAACTGAACTAGAACTGAACTAGAACTGAACTAGAACTGAACTAGAACTGAACTAGAACTGAACTAGAACTGAACTAGAACTGAACTAGAACTGAACTAGAGCTGAACTAGAACTGAACTAGAACTGAACTAGAACTGCACTAAAACTGAACTAGAACTGAACTAGAACTGAACTAGAACTGAACTAGAACTGAACTAGAACTGAACTAGAACTGAACTAGAACTGAACTAGAACTGAACTAGAACTGAACTAGAACTGAACTAGAACTGAAACTAGAACTGAACTAGAACGGAACTAGAACTGAACTAGAACTGAACTAGAACTGAACTAGAACTGAACTAGAACTGAACTAGAACTAACTAGAACTGAACTAGAACTGAACTAGAACTGAACTAGAACTGAACTAGAACTGAACTAGAACTGAACTAGAACTGAACTAGAACTGAACTAGAACTGAACTAGAACTGAACTAGAACTGAACTAGAACTGAACTAGAACTAGAACTGAACTAGAACTGAACTAGAACTGAACTAGAACTGAACTAGAACTGAACTAGAACTGAACTAGAACTGAACTAGAACTGAACTAGAACTGAACTAGAACTGAACTAGAACTGAACTAGAACTGAACTAGAACTGAACTAGAACTGAACTAGAACTGAACTAGAACTGAACTAGAACTGAACTAGAACTGAACTAGAACTGAACTAGAACTGAACTAGAACTGAACTAGAACTGAACTAGAACTGAACTAGAACTGAACTAGAACTGAACTAGAACTGAACTAGAACTGAACTAGAACTGAACTAGAACTGAACTAGAACTGAACTAGAACTGAACTAGAACTGAACTAGAACTGAACTAGAACTGAACTAGAACTGACTAGAACTGAACTAGAACTGAACTAGAACTGAACTAGAACTGAACTAGAACTGAACTACTAGAACTGAACTAGAACTGAACTAGAACGAACTAGAACTGAACAGAACTAACTGAAACTGAACTAGAACTGAACTAGAACTGACTAGAACTGAACTAGAACTGAACTAGAACTGAACTAGAACTGAACTAGAACTGAACTAGAACTGAACTAGAACTGAACTAGAACTGAACTAGAACTGAACTAGAACTGAATAGAACTGAACTAGAACTGAACTAGAACTGAACTAGAACTGAACTAGAACTGGACTAGAACTGAACTCGAACTGAACTAGAACTGAACTAGAACTGAACTAGAACTGAACTAGAACTGAACTAGAACTGAACTAGAACTGAACTAGAACTGAACTAGAACCGAACTAGAACTGAACTAGAACTGAACTAGAACTGAACTAGAACTGAACTAGAACTGAACTAGAACTGAACTAGAACTGAACTAGAACTGAACTAGAACTGAACTAGAACTGAACTAGAACTAGAACTGAACTATAGAACTGAACTAGAACTGAACTAGAACTGAACTAGAACTGAACTAGAACTGAACTAGAACTGAACTAGAACTGAACTAGAACTGAACTGAACTGAACTAGAACTGAACTAGAACTGAACTACAACTGAACTAGAACTGAACTAGAACTGAACTAGAACTGAACTAGAACTGAACTAGAACTGAACTAGAACTGAACTAGAACTGAACTAGAACTGAACTAGAACTAAATTAGAACTGAACTAGAACTGAACTAGAATTAAACTAGAACTTAACAAAAACTGAACAAGAACTAAACTAGAACGGAACTAGAACCGAGAAGGGGTAAAATAATTGACTTTTCTGGAGCATTATTGTTTGTACTCAAGAAATAAGTTCATTTACATTCAGAAATATAAACATGGGATGTTTACATGAGTTTAAATCATTCTCAATTAGTATCAGAAACCAATGCGAGTCTACACATGTGTTGCTAAATAAGGTTTCTGGTAGAATAAATTTCAGTGGAGAGTCTTTGAGTGAACTTTACTTCAAAGCTTTTAAATTTAAGTTGTAAATTGCATTTATATTTTAGTAAATAAGTTATTTAATTCTGTAAATTTATATTATATTCAAAGACCATACATCAATGTCTATAAAAGTGTTAATGTTAATTAATAATAATTAACTTTCGTAACTACTAATAAGAAACTATTAATTAATATCAAATTATAAACAAAATGAAGCATGCGAATCTAATAAGGCTAAACATTAAATGCAAAAATATGGTGCCAAAAATACCCAGTTGGAAATGAACAGCAAAAAATATACTGAAAATTCTATAAGACATGGGTTAAGAAAGAACTCCATAAACCCAAGATTATTGAAGAGGCTAGGATCTACACTACATGTTCATTTATATTGCAAATTGACTCCTGTTCTTTACTACTCTTTTAAACAATTTCAAATAAATACATTTCAAAAGAATATTTTCCTACATATTACTTTTTTTGCGAATAGAAATACATAATATTTAATTTGTTTTTCTAATTTTCCTTTATTTATTCGCAACGTCTGTTGGTGTTGTATTAGATTGAACAAGCCACAAGATAAAATGTTTATAAGTTTAAAAATGTTTGAATAGTTTCTTTTTTGCAATATTTTTTGTGTGAGTGCGCAATTTGATTTAGTTTGTTGCCAACTAAATAGAGTGTTGCCAGATTTTTAAAATCTTCAAAAATATTTAGAACTGAACTTGAACTAGAACTGAACTAGAACTGAACTAGAACTGAACTAGAACTGAACTAGAACTGAACAAGAACTGAACTAGAACTGAACTAGAACTGAACTAGAACTGAACTAGAACTGAACTAGAACTGAACTAGAACTGAACTAGAACTGAACTAGAACTGAACTAGAACTGAACTAGAACTGAACTAGAACTGAACTAGAACTGAACTAGAACTGAACTAGAACTGAACTAGAACTGAACTAGAACTGATCTAGAACTGAACTAGAACTGAACTAGAACTGAACTAGAACTGAACTAGAACTGAACTAGAATTGAACTAGAACTGAACTAGAACTGAACTAGAACTGAACTAGAACTGAACTAGAACTGAACTAGAACTGAACTAGAACTGAACTAGAACTGAACTAGAACTGAACTAAAACTGAACTAGAACTGAACTAGAACTGAACTAGAACTGAACTAGAACTGAACTAGAACTGAACTAGAACTGAACTAGAACTGAACTAGAACTGAACTAGAACTGAACTAGAACTGAACTAGAACTGAACTAGAACTGAACTAGAACTGAACTAGAACTGAACTAGAACTGAACTAGAACTGAACTAGAACTGAACTAGAACTGAACTAGAACTGAACTAGAACTGAACTAGAACTGAACTAGAACTGAACTAGAACTGAACTAGAACTGAACTAGAACTGAACTAGAACTGAACTAGAACTGAACTAGAACTGAACTAGAACTGAACTAGAACTGAACTAGAACTGAACTAGAACTGAACTAGAAACTGAACTAGACCTGAACTAGAACTCAACTAGAACTAGAACTGAACTAGAACTGAACTAGAAACCGAACTAGAACTGAACTAGAAGTGAACTGAACTAGAATTAAACTGAACTAAAACTGAACTAGAACTGAACTAGAACTGAACTAGAACTGAACTAGAACTGAACTAGAACTGAACTAGATGACTAGAACTGAACTAGAACTGAACTAGAACTGAACTAGAACTGAACTAGAACTGAACTAGAACTGAACTAGACCTGAACTAGAACGACTAGAACTGAACTAGAACTGAACTAGAACTGAACTAGAACTGAATAGAACTGAACTAGAACTGAACTAGAACTGAACTAGAACTGCTGAACTAGAACTGAACTAGAAATGAAACTAGAAACTGAACTAGAACTGAACTAGAACTGAACTAGAAACTGAACTAGAACTGAACTAGAACTGAACTAGAACGGAACTGAACTGAACTAGAACTGAACTAGAACTGAACTAGAACTGAACTAGAACTGAACTAGAACTGAACTAGAACTGAACTAGAACTGAACTAGAACTGAACTAGAACTGAACTAGAACTGAACTAGAACTGAACTAGAACTGAACTAGAACTGAACTAGAACTGAACTGAACTCTGAACTAGAACTGAACTAGAACTGAACTAGAACTGAACTAGAACTGAACTGAACTGAACTAGAACTGAAACTGAACTAGAACTGAACTAGAACTGAACTAGAACTGAACTAGAATTGAACAAGAACTGAACTAGAACTGAACTAGAACTGACCTAGAACTGAACTAGAACTGAACTAGAACTGAACTAGAACTGAACTAGAACTGAACTAGAACTGAACTAGAACTGACCTAGAACTAGAACTGAACTAGAACTGAACTAGAACTGAACTACAACTGAACTAGAACTGAATTAGAACTGAACTAGAACTGAACTAGAACTGAACTAGAACTTTAACTAGAACTGAACTAGAACTGAACTAGAACTGAACTAGAACTGAACTAGAACTGAACTAGAACTGAACTAGAACTGAACTAGAACTAGAACTGAACTAGAACTGAACTAGAACGGAACTAGAACTGAACTAGAACTGA